AGTGCTTAACACCTCACCTTTTTTATGATTAACAAGTGATCAAAGCATAAACTAAATATCATAAATTCTAAGAGTTATCCTTACTTTAATTTAACCAGGTTTTACTTTTAAGAGTTACCTGCAACTACTGGTATGTGAAAATTGGCTTAGGCCTTATTATTCCTACAGAATGTGACATCCACAATCATTCCCAGTCACTAGAAATATACATTTGCCTCATTAGAATAGATTTCTTCATGTTTTTATCATACAACTGTATTTCAAAGTTACACGTAATTTTACACATTTCTAAAAAATACAATTTCATGAGTCTGCTTGAAAGCAGATGTGCACTACTAAATTACTTTGAAACAAGGGGTAATATTGCACAAAATTCAGTGAAGATTTGAAAGTCAACACATTTCCCCCTTCCAACCACGTTGCTCCCGTATTTTAACAGAAAGAACATTAATTCACACAGAATCATAATAAATGTCAACATACTTGAACTCAACTTATTTTCCAAATGCTAATACTGTTACTGGATCCTAAATACAGGTGTTGTTAGTACTGAGCTAAGTAATAGTACATTTTAATTGAGTACCCTTTTCTACAGTACACCTTGGAGTAACTTCCAACTGTGTTACCTGCTTCATACCCCAGCCCAGCAGGGGATGGCAATGGCCCTGCCAGCTATGTGGGTTGTGGATGTCCCTCTAGACTGAGGTGGCTGTGGACTCACCAGGAAACTCTAAAAGAATAAGTGAAGCAGATTTCAGAAAGACCTGTCAAGTACTTTCAACTGGCCACTGACTGAACTGTGGAACAGACATTACAAAACGGATCAAGGGAGGTTTTGCACAAACCAACCATATCATCCCTTTCCATTCCTTTAGTTTCAACACCCTGAGGACCATGAATTCTAGACCAGCTGTGGTCCATGCTCCTGAGGTGAAGATGAGGACATGTTCTCGTCAGCTCAGATTCTGCTAACAAGCAAACAGAGACACACATGCCTAATGGCAGCAAAGAAGTTACTGAAGACAAGTCATATCACTATTCATATTGGTTTTGCTGGTGCAGTTATTTCTACATTCATTCTTCAAAGATTTACTGCAATACCATGGGAACAGACAGCCTTCACCATCCTGAGCTTTGCAATACAGAAGCTGTTTATTAGCCACATTTGTTTAGCCTGAAATTTCAGGCTGTTGGGAATAATACACTGGCTAGAGTCTCACAGCACCTGGACTAGAGGCTGGTGCCAAGGCAGGAGATGCTAACTTGGAAATAAAGCTCCTCTTGAGCTCTCCCTGAGGAGTCAGGGAGGTCCATGGTTAGGGGTTCTTCCTGCAGGACAGGGTACAGTCAGGATCACACAAGGGGCATTTGCAAAAGGGCCTCATGCTGGCACTTGATTATTGCATGAAATGTTTCTTTGATGACTTACATGCATAGAGAAAGTATTTTAGATGCTCCTAGCAATTCTATTAGACAGCTGCACCAACAAAACATTGTTCTGTAGAACTGAGTATCATTGACTGCAGGTGGATAAGGAGAAGCTGTTTTAAACACCTGGGTTAACTGTTCTTTTGCCTAGACTTTACACTGGTTACAAGAACACGAGGTTGTAAACTAGCTCATCCTAAAACCTGAGAAGACATCTAAAACAGAATTTTAAGGTCTAAAACACTCTTCTAATAGATTGGGTGGGATTTTCAGAAGCACCCAGCACTTGTCTAAAACTCTGCCTGAAGTCTGTGTTACAATGCCTGAGAGGGGACTTCAGCCAGCGCTGAGAGTTTCTGATGATCCCACCCAAACAGCAGCAGCACCACTGAAATGCTAAATGACAAGGAAGGGTTCAGTCGACAACTTCTATGACAACTTCTACAACTACATTTTTTCTTCAGAACAAGTCTATTTTTCAGAACTACATGATGCCCAAAAATGTGAGATGGAAGAGCAAACCACTGCCTATTCTACACAGACTGCCCTCTGCATGCATAGAGGGTGGGTAGGGATCACCTCTGCATCCATAGCCCTTCCCTGGTATCTGCAGTTTTCCTCGTTTCATCTCTACACACGAGAATGGGAAGGCTCTGACTGGGACAACATATTATCCATTCTGCAAATCCCACAGGGATTTAACTCCACAGGCAGCATTACTTTTACCTACAAGACTGAGCTGGAACCACTGTAACTGAGTTAGAACTGAAATCTGGAATTCTTCCAAGTTACTATCTCTCCTGTGGACTTCCAGGCTCTGCTTCACCACTCTGCACTGGAACAATCCAGGAATCCCTTTGTCTTTCCACTGCCCTTACTTTTTCCTCCCAAACCAGATGAGTGATACGGCTCATTTTAGGCAGACATCTATGCAAAATAAATGCAAAAATATTAATCTTGAGTCCTGGTTTGACTTTCAACATCGGAAATTTGTTCCTATGTGTAACTAACAGACCAAAAAGCTTAATCAAATAACCTGGTATCTCCCTTAAACAGGAGAAACAGGAGGATTTTTGAGATCCTGAAGAAAAGACATGCCTCTGAAGAAGACCACAGGAGCTCTGACTGAGCAGAATTCAGTTCTCACCAGAAGCTGGTGATCCATGTTGATGATTTTCAAAGACACTAGAAGGATTTCCACAACTAAAAAGCATACAAGTATAAAACTTGCAAAGTACTGGACCTGGAAAATTTATCTTAATATAGAACCCACTGTGGTACTAAAAATATGGCATATGTAGCCAATAAACAATTTTATATTATCACAAGGACAGAGAACAAGAGTGTTGAACCAGAAATATCAGTTTGGACTCTTATCTATTTGGTAACTGGCAATTCTATTCAAATAAGGCACAAATATTAGCCTTTTTAAAAGATCACTGATAGTAAGTGGAAAAGATCCTATATATTACACAGTAAAAAATGTACCTACAGTTAAAATCAACATATATATAAGACAAAGCTATTTCTGAACCCATACAAGGTTCAAAACCAAAAAAGACATATTATTTAATGATTGTAAACAAACTATGAGCTTTGTAAATAGTAAGGAAACAATGCAGCATAAGCACAGAAACATTTTGACTGAAATTAAAATAATTCTAAATTGAATGTTACATCTTCTATTAAATCTGTTTACTTCTTTTCTGCCTGCATTTTCACTCCATGAAGCAGTGAATTATTACTACAATGCCTCAATTTTGAAAGATTCCACTATCAAACTTTCAATTTTATGATCCTTATAAAAACTTAAGAATACTGGCAGTCTCACATGGCTTCCATATTTATTCCACAAAGGTGAAAATGGAACAACCTATGTGATCATTTGTTCAGTATCAAACCCTCATGTAAAGCCAGTAAGATTTATGCCTGTATTAGACAGTAAGTTTTGAAAACCATTTTCTGGCAGCATTCCTGGACTTAGGTGTTTGATGGTTTTTAAAGTAATAATGGCCATAATTTCTGGCTTTTTTCTATTTGTCTCCTTAAAACACTGATACTGTTTACTACCTTTAATAAATGAAGGAAACAAAGTAACTTAGATTGAACCATGGATAGAAACATCACGTGAAGTGCAGAGGAAAGGAAAATTTGAACTTTGAAATTCTCACCACAAAATGCAAGGAGATGAATGAGAAGGAGTGAGAAGTGCTACAAGAACCAAAATCTGTGTATTGCCTACTGCAGCACCATGCTTGGGCAATGTTTACTACCCACAAGGGAGAAGAATGCCCTCAAGTCATTAATGCCAGCTTTAAACAATGAACCATCAGGTTGCTCTGGAACTTTTTCATCTGAACAGCACATGAGCCACTTGGCTTGACCCACTTGGAACACTGAGAGTGAAGATTTTAATTATTTTTATGATACTTTTGATTTCTAATATATTAGAATATATTAGAAAATATTTTGCCAAGTAACATTTTTTGTTATTGCAAAAGTTCACAACATATCATGTTGATGCACAAGAGGAAACCAAAGAATAAACAAATAGTTTGGAGTACAGAGTTCTGGATGTACAACTGCTAACTCTGGAACACTGAGATTCTCCAGCAATGCAGATGCCCTCCAGAATGTTCATGGCTTGATCAGACACACATATTTTGGCAAGATTTGCACTTTTACTATGTTTTAGCTTTGTTGCACTGATTAAAAAAAGTTAATTCTGGAGGCTCATCCTCAGTGGCAAGTACTGGCCCAGCCCTTCTCATTCTGGAGCAAGATGAAATTTATGAAATTTTGCACTAAGCCCAGATCTCACTCTACTGAGCCTCTCTGGTGAGATTCCAAACAGTGCCTCTGCCATGCCATGGAGCAATTCCCTTAGGTCAGCTACCTTGTAAGAAAGCAGCCAAAAACCCCCTTTCCATTTGTGTCAGGAAATGGAAAATGAATTAATAAATCTCAGTGAGGCAACTGATATGAAACTCTGCTACAAACTACTATTAAGGTACTAAAGTACAATCTGATCCAAATACCAACCCCAGGAATGTGTTCATTCAGGTCTAGGCTGAGATTAACAGAAATCATTCATGACAAAGAGGGAAAGAAAAAAGGTTTCATGACTTAGAAGAGCAGCAGAACATTCTTCTCAGGCAGAGTTCCTTTTATACCCATGTGCTATTTCTACCAACTTTACCACAAATACCCCTAAAAGCTGACAATTCCAGTCTGCTGAAACTGATTAAATGTCTCTTCTGTCCTAAGCTGTTGGGGTATGTATGGTGAGATGGAAAAAGAAAAGACAAAGAAAATTTTAAAAATTAAAGAGCTGCTTCATAGAGTATCAAAAATGTTCAGACTTTAAACATCCAAATATTTGTCAGGAATACTGCCAGAAGGAGGACAAATTCTTGTTCTAAATACATTATACATCAGGACCATTTAGTCTTCTTCACTGAATTTAGAAGGAAGTTTTTGGTTGTCCAACTTGACTAAAATGAGAGTTGGACATGTGCAGTCTCAAACTGAATCTATAAATTTTGCTTTCTAGTGTTACAAATCAGGCACAAATTAGTTTTCCAACTATTAAACTGCAGAAAATAAAAAAATAATATAAATCTATCAATTCCACTTACACTTTCCTTTCTGAGAATTTTTAGGTGAGTTAGTCTACCTAGGGAAACTGATAATGTGTTTTTAAAGTGTCTTAGTTGTAAACAGAATAATAAATGTCACATTATAATTCAGCACTTCATGTACTTTATAGAAGAGAGAAAACCACGTGCTACCTTTTTGAAGTCTGGAAGACAGAGCCACAGTTTTAGTCTGGAGTAAGTTCCAAGTTATAGTCACAAGAAATTCCTTAATCTATAAAAAGTCTCCTTTCCTCCCCCCACCTTTGCTGAAGCAAATTCCTGCCATGGAAAATCATTATTGCTGTTTTGTAGATTTGCATTCATCTTCTAAGACAGTTAAACCCCTTCTCAAAAGATTAAGGCAATTATTATTCATTACAAATATTAACATTTGTACATTTCAGACAAATCAGATTGCTTGGTTCATTTCATGCTAATGGGATTAACATAGTACCTTCAAAACCTGGCTACCTTTAGGTGACACCCTTGGCTGCTTAGAGGAAGCAAATGCTAGGAAGCACCATACACTTGCTGTATTTTAAACATAGAGACTAACTAGTACCTGATTTGAGAGTGCATTCATACATTTAGTTCAATTTCGTGGACCTAACTACAGCCAACAAATGAACTGAGTAAACGTAGAAGCGGACGTCCAATGGCAGAAAATGCATACTCAACTGAAGAGAATTATTTTTATAACTGAAGATCTCTTATTCCTTTTCATTTTTTTGGTTATCATCTTATATGGAGTTACATGGAGTCCTGAGTAGTCTCCCTTTAACATCTGATGGGAGTCAAGTTTCTCTTTTCATACTTTTCTTACGTTTTATTTCCACTCCTACTGCTGGATAAGCTATCCTTTGAAATATTTAAACCATAGTGAAAAGCAGAATTCAGTTTACATAATGACACCACTTCTTGAAGAAGTCCACCTTCTTCTGGAGTTTCATCTCCTTCCTTCCCACCTTTCTCCCAAGGGACCAGAATAGATGGCTGTTGAGCAAGACCTGCTGGGAGCTGATCTTCTGAGGTATTGCTTAGTGTTTCATTAGGCTTTGCATCCTGACAGGAAGAGAAGCCTGCTTTGAAACTTTCTAGGGAAGTAAACTGGGCACTTGGTCGTACTGGAGACAGGGATGTCAAACTAGTGGTCTCCATCTTGTCAGTAGTAAAGGTTTTGCCACTCTTTGCTTCTTCCATCCTTGAGAGAGATTCTCTCTGGCCACCAGAAGAAACTTGCTTCCTTGGTGATGGGGGTAGCTGCTTCCCATGGAGGACACTGTCATCCTGGCCAAGGTTCCACTCTGCCTGGTCATTAGCACTGCTGCAGAGCAGGGTAAGGTTGCTCTCACTAGGTGCATTTGACTTGTTCTGAAAGAAAAAACATGTGTTCATAGTTAATGTCACAAGAAACATCTCTACACTGGTATTTTTGAAACACAAGTACTGGAAGGGATTTCGTATGTTCCTAAATCATGGATTCCCTTTGGGGCTCAGCGTTACAAAACAACTATCCCAGACACAATGCAAGGCCAAGTGTTTTTACATTTCCTCACAGAACACTGTCTCTTAGCCTAAGGACTGCCTCTGGTACCACAAAGAGGAAGGATTTCTGTCTCCTCTGTCCATTCAGTCTTGGCACAAGCAGTTTTGACAGCGAACAAAGACACACTTTTCTTGTTTGTACCCATAATATGAGAGGGAGGGGGACTAAAACTAAAACCAGATGGCATTTCCTCTTTGCTTCAGTAATTAATTATACCAATTTTCAATATTAAAGTTTTTTGGTCAAACAAAACCGGGCATTTTATTAATCTAACCCCTGTGTGACACTCATAATATAAACTTTTACAAGCTTTATAAATATTTGCATCAGTATTTGCTGCTCCAGTAACAAATCTTCTACTATAGGATCCCTTTCAGCAAAAGTAAGTGTTGGACAGCTGACATGCGCTGGAATTCAAAAACACTAAGCTTTTTTGGCTAATACCACAGCAGTGACTTGGTGAAAGTTTTAAAACTGTAGGCAAGCAGTGTGTTTACACTAAAGGACCAGTGCAACTCTACCTAAAATAAGAACAAGGAGCCCTCTTAGAAAACTCTGGAGTACTATTCTAGCAGTGTTTCAGGTGCAATTACCACCTGGATCCCATGACTTAAATCAAGAAGGAAATATCATCGTATCACTATGACTAGTCTAAGTCTACAAGGTGAAAAATGCCTTTTAAACCACATTAAAAAATCCCAAACCAGCTCGAGGCATATCAGATTTAACAGAAAAAAAAATTATAAATATAGTATTAAACTATTTGATTAAGTAAATTACTATACTGTTCACAGCTCTCTATGTGGTTACTGCTTTAAGGAAAAATATGCTCCAAGATGACTTAGTAACCTGGAGAATTTCTTGGCTGGTGAAAAACCATCATGCAGTGGCCAGCATGAGTGTACTGTTATACAGCCCTAGGAAGAGACATAGCAATTCTAAGAACTGTGCTGCAGTGTCTGAGCTGTATGTTGTTCATTCCACAAGTGCAGGATTCCACTGTAAATGGACCTGGGTTGGTTTTCAAATGAAAGGAGAAGACTAACCTCAGTCTTGTAATCAATGTCATCCATTGATCTGAAGAAATCCAGGCTCTTTGCTCCTGAGAGTTTTCCTTGATCTGAACTGTGTGTGCTCAGCGTGTCCAGAATCTCTCCAAGCAAGTCCATTTCTCCTTGATGATGAGTTATTCCAGTTTCACCAGAACCATCACTATCATAAAAGTAAGCAGAAGCTTCTTCACTGTCCTCTGATGATAACCTGAAAACAAAACTTTTCCATCAGATAGAAACATAAAAGCCATTTCATTATAGCCACTTCTGAAAGGACATAGGGGAATACATTTCAAAAGCTCTGAATGGGAACATCAACCTGGAATATCTTTCTACTCAAGAATTTTCCTGAGCACAGATATATGGCATTGATGGAGATGCAGTTACCATAAGCTGCCTCCTAGCCTAGCCAAACATTTTGTTCTAGTGGCAAGACTGCTACTGCAACTCTTCCTCCATCACATGGGCAGATTTACTGAAGTACTGCCTATCTGCAAGGACAACTGGTGCTTTTGTCTCTTATTTCCTTTCTTGTCCATTGCAATATCTTTACCTCTGACCCCCATTCTACCATGGTCTTTTTCTACCTCTGTCTATCAGTACTGCTACAAAGGCTGTTTTTCATGGCCCACTGTTTTCATTATATCCTTTTAACATTTCACTAGCTTCATCTTCCCTACTGTATCACAGCTTAAACTGCTTGATTTTGCTTTCAATGTCCTTTCTGGTTTATATCCAGATGTTCATCATCAAAAATCAACTCCTCAATTCAGAAAACACCTCAATTCAGCTTAAGCCTCAAGTTACACGTTTCTTTTAGTTCTCATATAGGAAGACCTCAATATAAAATCCCCAAGACATTATATGTCTTTCAGACACTTCAAAAAATGTCCCATTGTCAGGGCTACAACACAAGCCTTAAAGAATAGATTGGCTGAGGTCACTCCCCACCATGTTGATGAATATTTTGCTGTTTCTTTGTGTATTTCTTTGTGTATGTAGTCTTTTTATCTGGAGGCTGTGAAAACTGAGGATTATGTCAAGCTCTTCTGGACACTATAAATAATGAAAAGATATAATAGCCTTTCCCTCTTTTTAAAGCAGATTTAAATCCTAAACTACTTGACATTATCTAGATCAAGAATTGAGCTAGCAGCCTGGACAGGAGAAAAATGTGTCACTTGAACTCCACTTTGTTGAATAACACTTGTTACCCTCTCTGCTATACATACATAACCCATCCAGACAGGCTTCTTACTTGCTTGTTCTCTCAACTTCATCATCTTCATCTTCATCCAAGGTATCATCCTGGTTACTGAGGCGCTGGTTGAAACGAGTCTGGAGGAAGGACAATTAACATTATAATTCTGTTTATTTTTTCTGTTTCAGCATTACTTATCTGGAGACCAGCTGCCACTTTACTCATTAGGGTTTCTGAGCACTTGCTGAGAAAAACCACATATTGATCAAATCTTGTAAAGGCTGCTCCAAGTCCTCAAGCATCACCAATTAAAGAGAACCATTTCTCTTCATGGCCCCCCTTCCTTATTTATGCAAAGCCTGGTGTGCCTTATTATTTATGCAAAGCACTGATTAGCAGAAGACTGGATATTGGAGGAAAAGCATCACTCAAGTCCAGCAGCTACCATTTCTTGAAAGCACATGACAAAAAGCACCGTGGTTTAATACTTTCTGGTAGAAATATTTGCCAAGCTTTGGTTCATGTGGTCTACTGAGCATGAGGAAAAACTGACTTTTGAAGTAGCAAATACAAAGGAAGTTGGGAGTCTCATCATAAAGCTACATTTATGTTATGGTGCTGTACAGGATTGCAGAGTAAATAATATCCAGTTCAGGAACTTTGCACTAGGAATGTCTTTGTGCAGGATAATTTACTATGGATTACAATTAATTCCAACCCAGTGCACACTCAGTGCACCCCAAGAGGACTTTGCATGGTGGAGCTGGTATGCTGTAAATTCACACGTTTCTGTACAGAGTACTCACCTATTACATCACATTATTAGTCAGCAAACAAAAATAGTCTAAAAAAATTCCACAATAATTGGAAAAAAGTCTCTATCCTGACCAGAACATTTAAATCAGGAATTTTAATCACTTGTACTCTGCAAATGACTGTCTTCAGGACTATACAACTCTCATACTTGTTTTGTATCAAAAACTTTTTATATAGGAAGTTTAACTATACTGGCAATCAATGCACTGAAGATATTGTGAACCATGGATAACCACTAATAATTTAATTTAATTCCATATGGATGGAATTTTTACAGAGGGAAAACAGCATAAGCTAACTTTGAGGAAAATCATCCACAAGTAAGAAGTGCTACTGCCCACATCTCATCATGCAGTTCACCAAATGCCTAAACCTGCAACCAGCCCCTGATGGGGAAGAAATATGGCCTTAATTTCAGACTACAAGGAGCTTGAAAATCTCGTACTGTGAGGATTTCAGTATGTTACCTATTACAGATGTTGTCAGCGTTCTACAAATACCAGGACGCTCTCTGTAACTCCCCCCACCCCCCCATTATTTACAGGAATGTCTCAGAATTCACTCTTTAGAGACTGAGACATTTTTTCTGTTCAACAAGAGAGAATTTAATTAAAGCAGCAAGTTTTGATAACACTTTCCACAGTTCTTTGCCCTCAAAGAGGAAACACGTGGTTCTTTATGTGTTAAACCAAGTTAATAGTTGACGGAAAATGAGAGAATTATTAGAGTATTACAACCCATCAAACAACCCTAACTAAGATTCATTCTGAGCAAAAGGCATAGGATGGAATGCAGAGAAACAAACTATTTCTAACTCCTTCATATTTTTGTGAGTTCATAGTGTTGTTCCCACCATTGTTGCAAGCAATCACTCTCCTGTTGTAAGTAAAGGGAAGTGAATCCCTCTGGTAACTGATACTGGTGATTGGTTATCTTACTGATCCCTGTCACAAGCACAGTCACTGGTTCTGGTTTAAAAGTTGAAGCTTTAAGTCCTTATCTTCACTGGGAAAATTGAAATACTTTGATTTGGTAACACTAGAAATTTTGGTAACACAGAATTTTCCCCAAGAAAATTCTGACACGACATTCATTGTAATTCAAGCTCTAACCTGGAACTGGCTCCTGGAGGGCAAAATCCTGTCTGCCTCTCTCACTTTCTTTTGAATTGGCATCAAAATTAGATGTTGCCATCACATGTACTCCTACTAACATAAATATGAGATTTTGCAGGGAAGAAGATTTTTTTAAATGTTGAGAAGTTGCAGAAAACAAAATGGAAGCTGACACTTGTTCATCTGTAGAGGAATTAACTCTGCCAATGGAATAAAATTCTACAAGGTAACACTTGCTGATTTGCTGAAATAATAAATAATATTTCAAAGAGGACAGATATCAAGCTTCAAGAAAAAAAGGGGAAAAAAGGAAAAAAAGTTGTGTCTTTGACAAACAGGAGCTGAATAAAATTAAGTAGAATCAGCGAACAACGCAGGCATTGCAGTGACCCCTCAGAACATCAATGACCAGTAATATGCAAGTGTGTGAGTGAAAGTACGAATAATCATATAGAGAAATGTAACAGACAAGTTGATAAATCTAAAACCTCCCTCCAAAACAAGAAATCCTAGCTCCTGATGGTCAAACTCTTTGAAAAAAATATTTTTGTTACCAATTTAAATGATATGGGCTATACTATAAAATTATACAGGGAAACTTTCAACAACTAAACCAAATAAAATGGGATTTACATACAAAGGAAAAGATATGGGGGAAGGGAAGGAAAGGAAAATATCTGGCTGTAAATAACAACCTTCTCCAGCATTTACTGCTCTGTGAGCTAACCACGGAGACAACAAGCAACACATGTTTTTGAATAGGTGACTTTCCTTTAGGAGCTGTAATAAAAACGACTGCAAGGGAGGGGTATGTCCAGACTACTTTGCAAAGAAAGAAAAAGAAAGAAAGAAACCCTTAATAAATTTCAAAAGGAGAGCCATAAAACTTTTTCAATGCTCCGCTAGGCAAAGTGACAGAGTATGTGCACCTGCAAAAGCTGTCAGAGTCATTTAAGAAGTCCTTCCATTACTGACGTACCCTGCTGTTTGCAGTTATTTAAGCTTTTAATTTCTGTCTTTTCTGCATTTTGAAGTGTGTAACCTTTTTTATACCCCTTTATGAAAAAAGGACAGACTTCTGCTTCCTTCCTGATTAGCATTCTAATAACAACCAGACCATTTAAATTTATTACCACCAGAAATGATATGGCAACAGTCCTTTCTTGCTGCACCAGAACTTTATAAAGTCTTAATAGACTGCTGTCATGTTTATTTCTATAAAATAAAGAAACAAACGTCTTTAAAGTACCTGGTTGTTTTGCTTCTTCCAAACAGTTCTGCTTAGATATTAAATATATTACTTAATGTATTTACTTTATATCATAACAAGAACAGGGATTCAGCTTTTGCTGTTTCAAATTTCTCACATTTTCCTGCACATGGCATCTCTCATCTCGCTTGGAATGTAAGAGCTGAGCACATTTAAACACAAGCTCATGTTCTCCACAAGCTGGTGTGAGGCTATATATCCTTTTTTTATTCACCATATCCATCCTCTCTGGTTGCTGCCCTGCTTCAAAATCTCCTTCTGCAAGTAGTCTGCAGCCTATACAGACCTGATCCAATGCTGATCACTGAAATAAGGAAAATGAGCTAACAGTATAAATACAGTAGAACCAAATAAAGGGAGGGTCAGTCCTTAAACTGTTCTCTTCTTCTTGCTGGTAACTTCACAAAATGTACTACTTTGGAATAAAAATGCCAAAATACCTGAATGCTAAAGGATTTAAATGTAAGATGGTTATATTCTTGATTGGGCATGAAAGTCAATCTTTGAAATGTCAGCTTTTTATATAATGCTAGACCTTTCAGATGTCCAGCTTTTGGTAATGAGTGTGTATTGATTGATACTAAGGCAGGAAGTTTAACAAGGCTGCTGCTATTAATTACACTCAAAGTGAAAAACAAATAATCTTTTGATAAATGGCAGCACAAATACAATTTCACATTTACTGGCTACTCAATACATCAACACATATAAAGTTTCAAAAAAAAAAGAAAAATATATACCATGGTTTAAAACTGTGAAGTACTGCTTCCTTTTTCTTAAAAATTTAAAGATTATTCATTCAGCATGAGAAAAGAAATAAATAAAACCCCACTGTTATTTATGATTCAGTATTTTATTTTACCCATCCTCCTCTACAACCAAATCACAGACATAATTATGGCTCCATCCAGCAGGGAAGCAAAAGATCTTTCAATCAGACTTTCCAGTAAAGCACAACTTGTCGCCTTCCTTTCCGGTTAAACACTGTGACCTAAAGCCATGACTCACAGGAAGGTACTCCTCATTACACTCCCCCTGAGCTGAGACTGATGAAAGAAGAGGGAAAGCAGAGACAGAAAAGAAGTACAGATTCTAATCAAGAATGCTCTGATATCAGAAAACTGTCCTGGATATAAATTAAATAGATACTACCAGAAATATGTGTATGGGCACAGTGCTTTGAAATGCCAAGTACACTTTAATGCCACAGAGATCTCCAGTGACTATTGTACAGTTATAGGAAACCCTAATACCTCTGCTGAGGTAGGATTTATTATAAGTACAGATGATAAATTTGTTGAGATACTTAGTCACAGATAGCACATGTAATTACTTTTGTTCTGAATTACTGTGGTGAAAAATGAACAAGCTCTCAGCTCCCTACCATTTATGCACGCTAGACTCCTGAACCCAGGTATCATTTGAGAATTGTGTAATGCTTCTCTTCCTTTTTAACAATTAATCATGCTTCCACAAATATTTTTTCAGAATAGTTCTGTTTTGCTCCAAAACAACAAGCAATCTTCCAGTTTCCCTGTGGAATTGCAGCCCCTTTTCATCCTCAGGAAGCCTGAGGTCCCACACTGCCCAGAGTGAGGCACCACTTCCCCACAGCCAAACCCAGCTTTTCTCAGTGGCACCGAGGATATTCTTAGCACCCCCTCCCGTTTTCAGCTGATGATGCACCGTGGCACCGTGCCACACACCATCCTGGCTGCAGGGAGTGCACCATCCCTCCACTTTCATTGGCAACAAGCACAAGTGTTAGTCTTTTCAAATAGGATGTGGAGATTTGCAGTGCCATTTGCAACAACCAAAGCCAGCAGCTCATTTTTTTTTGTGCATGATTTTAAGAATCAGATTCACCAGGCAGAATTTGCAGTTACAAGAATGGAGAGATATATCACTTATTTTCCCTTTTCTGATGGTGATTAAT